CACTCACAAAAGCCGACCCGCCAGCGCCTGGCACGACGCCTACATTCCCGGGTACGGGACAAGTGTCCTACACCACCTCTAGGGTCGGGTAGTCCGCGGCTGTTTAGGGAGTACGGTCTCGAGTAGTGGCAGGAACGGTAGCACAAGATAACTTAATACACCAAAAAGCTTCTTGTTTGTTTCTCTCACTCAGCTTAGGCAAGAGGTAGTAAATGTAAGACTGAGACTAATGAACGAGGGCCTACCGCCAACTCGCTTTCCTATACACGACACCGCTTGAGTATATCTTGATCCAAAAGAGTCCTTCTCCATGACATCCGTCCTCGTGCGGCGACAGGAAGGTCCGAGACGCGGTCCTCCTTGCGCATCCGGCCTTGTCCCCAGCCACGTAAGACGATAGGAGGGAACTCGCACACCGTTCCAGTACTCCACCGTAGCGTTCCAATACAATCACACCATAACTTCACCAGTCTCCTGTGCGAAGTTAGTGGGAGCTTGCGGGGTCAACGGGAACCAGCCTCCCGCCGTCGCAGCACGCTGACCTTCGCCGAGGTCCCTTGTCACAAAAGCCGGCCCGCCAGCGCCTGGCACGACGCCTACATTCCCGGGTACGGGACATACTCCCCGACTTGGAGTTTGCCGTCCTCGGCGAACGGATGGCCAACGCTGGCGGCGCAGGCGAGCCATTGTTTCGGGCGCACCCGAAAGGTCAATAGGACGTTCCGTGGATTGCTCGGTTCCATAGGAGTTACCCAGGAATGCTTCCGTAGTAGGGGCCTCTTCTTCCGCCGCTTGAAAGTCGCGTAACCCTTCGATACCATCCTTGTATCGCAAGCGTTCCAAGCAAAGCGCCTCGGCACGCCTACGCTTCGAAGCGTTCAGTTGGGTGTTAGCCAAAGCTTGACGGACCACACTCTGGGGAGCCATCGAAAGCAGCGGGTTATCCTCTTCACACAGACGCAGGGCGTGCGAAATCACACCGGTCACTACGACGAAGAGAGGCCCCAGCAGGTCCCAGCGAGTCCATTCGTAACAGTAGTCGTACGTCACTAGCAGCATAAGTCCGATGGCAACACCGATAGGTCCTTGTAGGACGAACTCCACTAGGTCGTAGAGGCTAATAGGTACGAACAGCAGCAACGACAGGCACAGCAACGCGACCCAG